AGGTTGGGCATTGTTTCCCGGGTGGAAGCTGGGCCGTGCTGGTGGGCGAGGGGTGATGATGGTGATGATGATGGTGGTGGTGGTGGTGGTGGTGATGATGCTGAGCTGCGGCAGCGGCCTGGCCAGGATCCCTGTGTGCTCATGCACCGGCTCTATCTGCAATGCTGCTGCTTCGCTCTGCTCTCCTCCCCTGCTTGTTTATGGGCTGGTTCCTCTCCTCCAAACCAGTAAATATTGGAGTGAAACCAGCCAGAAAACACACAAATCCGAGGAGAAAAAAAAAAAAAAAATCCATGTCTTCATATGCAATCTGCTTCCAACCCTTCCTCCGGGAGATTAGGAGCGACCCCAGCCCCCTCCCAAAGCCATTATCCCAAAGGCAGGGTTCTAATCCTTTTGTGGCCGGCAATCCTGGGTTTGGGATCAGCCTGGAAGCCAGCAGTGATGGGATTTTGGTGGCTGCCTGCTCCGTGGGGGAGGAGGTGACAGTGTGTGATCTGCTCCCCTCCTGGCTTTGAAGCTGCTAAATAAACGAAAAACAAATCAAAGGGAGCAGCGAGGCAGCGCATGGGAAAACTTGGAAACGCGTTTGTTTTGAAGGAATTCGGCAGAAAAACTCTGGTGTCACCAGATCACAGCTGGGACGCCGGATCTGGGGCAGGGAGGGTGCTGGGGATGGGGCAGGTGCCGAGGAAGAGGAGGCAGTTTGTGTTGTGTGCCCCCAAATCCCTCAATCCCCCCCATGAATGAGCTGCCACTGCTGCTCTGGGAAGTGCAGGTGGGCCCTCCTGGGGGTTTGGATGTGGCTAGGGCAGGTGGATTGCTTAAATTTAGGCCAGATCTTCCATGCTGTGTCTGTCCCAGCATCTTTCCCGTGGCCACATCCTGGAGTCTCGCAGGCTGCTGCTCTCTCCGTGCCATGGATTTCTCTCTGAGCTGTGTCTCTTTTCCCGTTTATACCCCTTTATTTCCCCGTGTCAAACACTTGGCTTAGGGCTCTGCAATCCCTCCTGCAGCTTGACCAGAAAACCATCAGCTCGTGCACGTTGAGGGGGTGTTTTTTGTGAGGTCCAGGATGAAAGCCCAGCCTGCAAATCCAGGCTTTGACACGGAACTAAAGGTTTTATTTGGCTGCGTGGATCAGCTGGGCTTTGCTGGCCCACAGCCTCAGCCAGGGCTTCAGTTTGCTTTGTAAATGTGTATTTTCAGCCCTGCCTGATGGATCCATCTCTGCCCAGAGCAGGACCGGGCTCTGCAGGCTCTTTACCCGCGTTTCTTCGCGGGCGATGATGTGTCTGAAGCATCTCCTTGGGTTGGTTTCTCAATTTCTCCTTTAAAAGCAGACAAATTCCACCCCCAGCATCCAGTGCCTGTGCCTGAGACAGGCAGTTGCCTGTGGGAACAGGGTTTGGCTCCGTGCTCTGGCACCAGGCAGGGGCTGAGGTATCTGCTGGCGGCTCAGTCGCTCGGGAGATGTTTCCAGGCTCCACACGTGCGAAGAAAATTAACAAGAAAACGAGATCTGGGGAGAAGAATGAGATTTTATTGGGTTAGAAATCACTTCTGAGGTGGGGCAGAGGGGCGTGGCATGCCCTGCTTCGGGCCCTGTGGGTTTTCCTGGGAAAACTGGGATTGGCTCTGCTTGAGTGCTTTTCTTGAGAGGGGTCTGTTGGAAGGATCTGTGTCGGGGTGGGTGCTGGTGTTCCCGTGGATTAGGAGGTGCTGGTGGTGTTGCAGACCAGGCTGGGTGCCCCAGGGATGGAGCAGGCAAGGCTGGGTGACACCCACCACTCCCAGGTGGTGAATAGAAATGAATCCATGAAATTCACAATCTTAAAATATGAAGGGCTCATTAAAAGGGAAAGGAAAAAGGAAAGGGAAAGGGGAAGAGCAAAGGAAAGGAAAAAGAGAGAGAGAGAAAAAAAAGAAAAAATAAAAAAGAAAAAAAGAAGAGAAAAGAAAAGAAAAGAAAGGGGTGTTTTATTAGGTTGCTTTTGTTTGATCTCTGTAGGGTTTTGGAGGCTGTGGAAATGCCAGGCTGTCATCACATTTTTTCATTAAAGGGAGTGCAAATTCTGAGGGCAGGATGTAACCCCAAGAGACAGACCTGGGAGAAAAACCTCAGATGCCATGAAAACCCAGTGTGGAGCGCCGGGAAAGCTGCTGGCCTGGCCCCCTGCCCGTGGCTGCCCGTGGAGGGATGCACAGCCTGGTACAGCTGAGGAACCCCCGTGCCACTGCCCCTGCATCCCAAAGCTGTGACAGTGAAATAAAGCCTTTGTTACAGAGATGAGAGGCTGGAGGGCCTTGGTGAGACAGAGATCCATAAAAAAGCTCTGCAATGTGGGTGGAGAGCTCTTGGAGTGTGGGAAAGCTCAGGGAAGCAGCATCAGAGGGAGGGCTTGGTCCTGCTCATCCCAAAGTTTGTGCTGGAAGGATGCTGTGCTGGGAATGGGACTGTTCAGAGGAGCTTTATTCCAACATTTACGTTAAAGTAAATGTTTTGTGAGGTAGAATCATAGGATCACAGACTGGGTTGGGTTGGGAGAAACCTTAAAGCCCATCCAGTCCCTCCCCCTGCCATGGGCAGGGACACCTTCCACTAGCCCAGGTTGCTCCAACCTGGCCTTGGACACTTCCAGGGATCCAGGGGCAGCCACAGCTTCTCTGGGCAACCTGTGACAGGGCCTGCCCACCCTCCCAGGGAAGGATTCCTTCCCAATATCCCACCTAATCCTGATCTCCTGCCTTGTCCTGTCACTCCATGCTCTTGTAAACAGTCTCTCTCCAACAGTTCTGGCAACTTGAGATTTCCATGAACCTGGAATCCACCTCCACACCCTGGCCCAGGCACCCCAGGGCCATGAACACTGTTTTTCCAGGGAATGACCTCGAAGGGCTTTCATTGAAATGTGCTGGGAATTCAGGGGTTTCCTCACCTAACTCGGCATCCAGGGGTGTTTGGGAGCTGATTCCAAACAGGAATGGGGGTGATTCCTCCTCCAGTGGAGCCCACCCCAACGTGGAGGGGGTTTTATTGACTCAACCAACAAGACAAACGCACAGCAGAGTTAAATTTATCTGCTTCCCTGTCCACAAGCGACCCAGGCGTGTTTAAAGCACACAAAACTTGCTGTGTCCTATTTCCAGGCCTCACTTGAGTGCTGCCATCCCCACCCTGAGTGTTCTCCGTGGCTCTGGCTCCCTGTGCTTCCCTCCCTCAGGGACACCTCAGCTGACCTGCTCCAGATCTGCCTGTTCTGAGCTTTCCCTCGGTGCTATAAAAAGAAAAGCAGGCTCTGCCCCCTTCCAACATCGCTGCTGGAGGAGCTGCCCTGGTGGCTGTGCCCGTGGAGAGCAATTTCCTTCTGGTGGGATCTGTGTGTGAGGACCCCACGGAGAGTGATGCCAGCGGGGAGTGCTGGAGTGTAACTCCCATCTTCCTTTTTTTGGGGTTGTTTTCAAGCAGACACAGTGGCCACAGTGCAGCAGGTGGGGAAGGGGCTGGGCAGCGGAAGGGTCTGATCCCTGAGCTGAAACAACCCCAGAGTTCATTTCTCTCGTGGTTTTGATATCTAGAATTGAACTTGGCTGTGTCTCTGCTGGTGGGGTAGGGTTGGGTCTGGTCCTGGCACCGAGGAGGGCACCAAATGTGCCTCAGCAGTGGTTACAGGGGCTCCAAGCTGTGCTTTTTAACCAGCCTGGGTTTTTTCCCGTTGCCTGGAATGAGGCAGCTGCTGGAAGCAGGATTCTCACTGGAGATTGAGACCAGCTCTGTGGGATCAGCTCAGATCAACAAAGCCGGCCCTGGAGCATCCCAGGGCAGGGCAGAGGGGGGCTGGCCTGAAACCTAGAATGGGAGATAAAACATGCTGAAATCTGCTGGTGAAAAGGGGTGAATACATTTTTGGCTGTGTCACTTCCTACCCTTAGGGGTGGCTTTGCTGTCAGGTTGCTGAGGGGTGGCTTGGTGGGTACCAGGGGCACAGCAGGACCAGGCTCAGCCTCTCAGCCAGCTGGGAAGGAGGAGCTGGAACATCCCCCTCGGATGGCTGAGGGCAGGATGATGCAGGGACTGGTCACAAATGCAGGCTGGTGCTCCTGGCCACCACATCCTTCCCCCTGGGCTACGACATTCCTTATTGTCTGCCATTTATTGTGTCGGGATTTATACCCCCTGGCCCAGACAGGAAGTTAATTTAGCAACAGCAGGAAAGGACACAATGACTCAGTGGCGGAGGGGAACTAAAAATAATGAAATATCCAGAGAACCACTTTGCTTCGCTTGGGAATTACTGTTACAAAGCACCATCCGGGGACAGGAGTGGAATTAAACATTTATTATTGCTGTTTTTTCCTGGAAATTCTAAGCAGACTAATGCTGGGATGCATAATTTGTGCGTTGATAGAGCTGGTAATTTACCTGGAGTGTGCATTTTGGGTGCCATGACGTCAGCATGACACGGATATATCGTTAAACACGTAAGCACTGTGGGGAAATTGAAATGATTAAGTTGTTGTGCCGTTGTGTCGCACCAGAAATGAGGACGCCTGTTGCTGCTGGGCCACGTTTTGAGGATCCCTTGGGAAACTGTGGCATAAAATGCACCTTGTAAGGATTCCCTGGAGGAATGCCTGCCCCAAGCTCACCCCAGCTGATCTTGGGTGTTGGGATCTCAGCAGGGAGAGCGGGATTTCTGCAGCCGGGGGTCAGTGGCTCGGGACCACCGGACTTGTATCCCGGGAATTTACCGGGATAACTCCCCCAGTGAAAACCCCGGGAGAAAGCCCCTTCCTCCTGGCCGGGGCTGCTCTGCCAGGCTTGGCTTTTGACATCAGACACCGGGTTTTTTTCCTGCCCTTGTGTAGCCGGGGAAGGCTCGGGGCTATTTTTATCCGGCGCTGGCAGTGGCTGGAGGAGGATGCGGCTCCCCTGACCGGGACAGCCTTCGCTTCCCTCCCATCGGCTGCTCCGTGACTTTATTTGGGAATAGCAAGGTGCTCTGGAACAGCCGGCAGGGGAGAGGTACTGGAGAGGCATCGGGGGCAAGGGGGGGCTGCAGCGGGTCCTGGCTCTGGAGCCAGCGCCTCGTCCCGTGGAGGAGCCGAGCAAGGACGGAGATGCCCCCTTGTTGTTGCCACGTGAGGAGCCGGCAGCGAAGGAGATGAGTCGGGAGGAGGGTGGTGATGGAATGGGTGACGTCATCAGGAAAGCAGCTGCACCGGCCGGGGAGGGGAGTTATAAAAAGGTAAGGGACCAAAAGGAGCCTTTGTCTGCCCACGGGAGCCCTCTTGGCAGGAGGGCACCCACGGAATGCTGCCCTGCACCCTGCCAGGGCCACGAGATTCTGCCCTGCACCCTGCCAGGGCCATGAGATTCTGCCCTGCACCCTCCCAGGGCCATGGGGGTCAGGGGCTGGAGCAGGGGGAGTGCTCCAAGGTGTTTAATGCCCTGGCACAGGGCTGCAAACCTTCCTCTCCCTCTGCCATTCCGTATCTTTGTGATGGGGAAAATGTAAGGAGATGATTCCATCTCGTACCTCAAGGCCCTCGGGATTTTAGGGCTCTTTGCCACGTGGCTTGAGACGTTCGACTCGGGTTTGTGTTCACCACTAAATCCCCTGTGGAGGGAAAGGAGATAAAAACACGTGTTGAGGGGTTGTAATTTCTGTTTGTAAATCCAGTAACAGCCCTTGTGCTTTGCAGAGATAAAATAAGGCACCGCCTGTGGCTCTGGAACTTTAAATATAGTCATTGTCCAGGGCTGGGAATGACAGAGCCCAGCAAAAATAGCCCTGCTGGCCTGGCTGGGTGTCCCAGAGCTCCTGCACAGGGCCAGGCATGGGCTGTGCACCCTGGTTGGGGCTGGGGGGTGGGTGGGAAGGGATTCTCCCCCTCTGCTCCACTTCCATGAGAGCCTCCAGCTCGGGGGTCTCCAGCACAAGAAGGATGTGGAGCTGCTGGAGAGAATCCAGAGGTGGTCATGGAGATGCTCCCAGGGCTGGAGCCCCCTCTGCTCTGGGAGAGCTGGGGAGGGGGTTCACCTGGAGAAGAGAAGGCTCCAGGGAAACCTGAGAGCCCCTTGCAGGGCCTAAAGGGGCTCCAGGAGAGCTGGAGAGGGACTGGGGACAAGGGATGGAGGGACAGGACACAGGGAATGGCTTCCCACTGCCAGAGAGTTCGATGGGATATTGGGAAGGAATTCGTGGCTGTGATGCCCTGGCACAGGTTGGGCAGAGAAGCTGTGGCTGCCCCAGCCCTGGAAGTGTCCAAGGCCAGGTTGGACGGGGCTTGGAGCAACCTGGGCTTGTGGGAGGTGTCCCTGCCTGTGGAAGGGGTAGGACTGGATGGGTTTTAAGGTTCTTTCCAACCCAAACCATGCATGGATTCTCTGATATGTTGGATAAATTCGGGCTCTCACCCAAAGCTGGTGGGTTTTTGGTGTCACAGCGTGCTGGGGACAGGTTGGCTGCTGGCAGGAGGTGGAGCTGGTGGTGCAGAGCACACATGGTGGTGAATAATCTGCAAACACCAAGGAGGTGATGGAAATAGGTGGACAAACAGCAATAACTACAGCAGGTGCCGGGGCTGGGACTGCTGGAGCCGCTGTGGGAGCAGCCAAGCCTCTCCCTGGCCTGGGATGCTGCAGAAAACCTTCCACAGCCACCACCTGACGTCGTGTTTTCAATGCTGGGCTTGAACAAAGGTGGCCACTGAACTTCCCAAGGGGAAGGTCAAGGGTAAGGAGGAAAACATCCGCCCCAGATTGTTTTGCCTTAAAAAAAAAAACCCACAGCTTTTTGTTTCCAATCGTTATGTGAACTGAATTGTCGACCCTCTCTTGCAGAAATGCTTATTTGTTTTTTGATGGAGTGCCAAAATACACGTTTAAATAACACTGGGTGATGTTTTCCTTCTTATTACCTTTGAAATTCGAGTATTTGACCCATTATTTTGATATACCAAATAAGTATATTTGATAGGCAGAAAAACTCGGGCCATTTCCCCTCTCGGTTTATGGTTTTCCATCCCCAGCTCTGGGTATCAATGCATCTGTCAGGTAATTTATCCAAAGCCTAGAGTCCAGTTCCCTCAGGTATATTCTATTCCTTAGTAACTGCTCCCTATTTTATAATAACAAATAGGACTCTTGGTTCCTTTATGGTCATTAGCCTGTGCCTGCCTTAGAAAATGGGATATTCCCAGCTCGGTGCTGGCAGCAGAGTTATTTAGAATCCTCAGTAAATGACCTGGTGGGGAAAACAAACTGCACGTTGATTAAATGGACAGATGTCAGACTGGGAGCAGCTGGGCCTGGTGGGAGATGGAGCAAAAATGAAAAAAAAAAAGAGATTTGGAGGCACGGCTCCATCTGAAAGGAGGACGTTTGTGACTCTCTGCGTGTTTGAGTGCAAGAAGGGCAGGGTTTGGTGCACACGGAGTAGGTGGGGCTGGGGCTGGGGAGGGAGCGGCCCCAGCTGGTGTGGAGGCTGGGCAGGAGGAGGTGGGGATGTGCTGTGGGCTTGGGATTTCTGCTGGAGCACAGGGGAAAATCAGAGAGAGGTGGGAAGATGTGGGAGAGGATCGTGTGAGCCGGAGGAAGGGAGGCTGGGCACGCAGGACTTGATGAAATATTGATGCAGTGAGCGAGCCACAGGCATCCCGAGGTGGGCAGCTGCCTCTCCCTCTGCTTTCAGCGCATTAAAACAATATTTGCCCTCGTTTTTCTTTCCTTTTCTCCCCGTGCTGCCTCCCCCTGTTTTTAATTCTGAGTCTGCCTCGGTGTGATTGAGGCATCGATTCTGGAAACCTGAAAAAGCAAAGTACAGGAGGGCAGCTGGGTGTGGTCCAGGTGGGGCTTCAGAAACCTGGAGCTGAACCAAAACCTCCAGACCCCCTGATGTCAGGGGGGTTATTTTTATTATTTGGAGCATTTAAAATAAGAGCAGTTGGCTTATAAACGAGGTATGTATTTTGGTAAGGGATTAGCAGCATAATGGGCAGCGTGATAATGTATGTAATCAGCTCTGGAGTTGGAATTAAACTGTTGGTTATTTTTAAGTTGATAATTTGCATCTTTTTTGCGCTTCCCCGTATCAAAAAGGTGCTGCTTCATTTTTCCTTAGGTGAAATCCAGGCAGCACAGTTAACATTAATTAACACCATGGAAGCAGCCCAGACTTGCCTGCTCTGTTTTCCTTTGTTGTGTATGAAGTGTTATTTTAAAATGAAATGTTTGAAGGCTCCGAAATGTTCCTTCTGTCAATAACTTGCTGCCTTGCATGGATTTGTTGTCAGCGTGGGCACATCATCCATCAGTGACAGACACCAGGAGAGGCTGAGGCTGATTTTAAATCTGGATCTGTGATTGCATTCGTTGCACATTGATTACGCAGTTGTCTCCATAATTACTGATCGGTGATTAATTTCAAATCCCTTTGTTGATTGTTATTAAAAACCCATATACACGCATATATATAGATAGAGATATAGTTTTAAAATGTATTTCATAAATACATTTAGGGGATAATTTGATGACAATGGTTAAAAATACATCTTTGAGCACACTGGCAGAAGGAGGTGGGTTTGGAGGCTGCTCAGGGAAGTGGAAGATGCTGGAGGTGCAGGTGTGGCCTGTGTGGGTATGGGTACAGATACTGGTGTGTATGTTAGGGATATACAGATACATCTCCATCAGCGTGTCCCACGGCAGGAGGGCTGGAACTGGGTGATCTTTAAGGTCCCTTCCAACCCAAACCAATCCACCATCCTTTGTGGGTGGAGGGATGCAGATGGACTGTAGAGGGAACGCTTGGGAAACGCTGGGCATCACCAGCATGGTGATGGGGCTGGGGGGACAACCCTCCTTCCTGTGCCCTCCCTGACCAGCAGCTTCATCTTTCCTCATCTCCCCTCCCTCCCAGGCCCAGAAGAATGAGCGGGAGTCCATCAGGCAGAAGTTGGCCCTGGGCAGTTTCTTCGATGATGGCCCAGGACTCTACACCAGCTGCAGCAAGAGCGGCAAGCCCAGCCTGTCCTCCCGGTAAGGCACCCACCTCGCAGCCCCAAACCTCCCTGGAGCCTGGGAAAGGGGACATTCCTCCAGGGGGACATCCCAAAACCTTCCTTCAGTTTTTTCTTTCAGCCAGATCCCTGAATCTTCCTCGGTTTAGAACAACGCCTTGTCCCCAAAAGCCGTTGTATGTTTTGTAAATAGTTGTCAACAATATGCTAAAATACTAATTTAAAACTGGGTAGAAGAGGTATTTGGATGCTCAGGGGGTAAAGCAAATAAGATTAAGTTACCTGAGTTCGATTTTTTTTATGATTTGGAACAGGCTGCCCAGAGAAGCTGTGGCTGCCCCTGGATCCCTGGAAGTGTCCCAGGCCAGGTTGGAGCAAGCTGGGCTGGTGGAAGGTGTCCCTGCCCGTGGCAGGGGGTGGAACTGGATGATTTTTAAGGTCCTTTTGACACAAATGATTCCCTAATTCTGTGTTTTCACTGTTCCAGTAGTCCTGGGTTGGAGTCCCCCTCCCTGGAGGTGCCCAGGGAAGGACTGGCCATGGCACTCAGTGCTCTGGGCTGGGGGACAAGGTGTGAAAGGGGCACAGGGGGGACTCCATGATCTTGGAAGTCTTTTCCAACCTAAACAAACCTGTGATTCACGCACAGAAAGTGGCAGAGAATGAAAAGAACAGGCTTTAACATTTCTTCCTGCCCCCGCTTCACCTCCACAAGCTCTGTTTCCAGATGTGGCTCCATCCCTGGAGCTGCCACCCTTCACTCATCCTGATTTTTGAAATGTCAGCAGCAAACCTGCTCCAGGAAGGCTTGTTTGGGCTCAGCTGCTGGGGGTGAGCAGGGCAGCATCAGACACCCCCGTGTTGGGAGTGGAGCTCTGCCTGCTGCCCTGGTGTGGGAGGAGCAGGGAGCCTGGAAGAGGCAGCAGGAACACTGCTATTCCAGCAGAGGGGTGCAGCTGGGAAATTAAATCGAACTGGGAGTCATCTGAAAGGGAAAGCAGTTTGGCTCTGTAGTTACAGCTGAGCCAGGAGCCGCTGTCGGGTAATTAGAGCACAGAGCTAATTAACACAGCCAGGAGGGTCTGACAGCTGGGCCACCACGAGTCACCAGCTGTACCTGAAGGCTTTGGGGTGACATGAATATTTATGGGTGAGGCAGAGGATTAGGATTGTCTGGTGCAGGTCCTACTGGGACCTCTGCAGGACCATTCCTCCTGTATTTACATACCAAATTATAGAATAAAATTATAGAATATATATATATAATTTTAATATATTATTTTATATGTGCATATATAATTGAATATATTATTTAATATATTATTTTGTGTATATAATTAATATATATATATAAATTATTATTAATGCTAGAAAAAAATCTACATATAGAAATGTAATCCCAGAATGGTTTGAGTTGGAAGAGACCTTAAAGCTCATCTCATTCCACCCCCTGCCAGGGGCAGGGACATCTTCCACCAGCCCAGGTTGCTCCAACCTGGCCTTGGACACTCCCAGGGATCCAGGGGCAGCCACAGCTTCTCTGGGCAGCCTTTTCCAAATCCAAAATGAAAACCTGAAGGAAACCTCATTTAGAAAACTTCATCTCATTTGCTTTTGTCCCCTGAGCATCCAGAGATCTTTCTACACAGTTTTAAATTAGAACTTTAACATATACATACATATATATACATTATATATATACATAACATATTTACAAATATTCCTAATAGATAGATAACACCACCCTCACCATAAACAATTTCAGCTATTGATCCTATGTATTTAAGGGTAATAGTGACTAATAAATTCCACCAAAAAAAAAAGGAAAATGGGAATTTTTTGCCCCATCCTCAGCAGGTGGTGATGGAATGTGATCTCTCCCCTATGGAAGTGCTTTTCCCTTCTCTCAGCCCATACTGGGATGCCCCTGCCCTGATCCACTTGCATCCAATAAAAAAAAAAAAATCATTCCTGGGGAGGAGAATTTGGGTGGGTTTAATCCACAGTAATAAATTCTTGAGTTACAGGAGCAGGTCTTAGCCACAAACAGGCTCATCACCCTTCTGAATAAACCATTTCAATCACTAACAGAACGTTTTACAACACGTATTATTATACATGTTATCGGTGTATGTTTGTATGTATGTTTTAATTTTTTAATTCTTTATGAATGTTATATATTATTATATTCAGTGTATTTTTTATATAATTCCTCTATTTTATTTAACATGATGAGGGAGTCAGTGAGCACTGAGAGTGTTCTGGGTGGCAGCAGCTGTGCAGGGCCCGGGTAGTTCTGCAGTCTGTCAATAGATGGTGGTAGAAGCTGCTGAGTTTTTCCAGGAGCTGCTGCATCCTGCTGGAGGCTGTCCTGGCTCCAGGGATACCCTGGTGTCACCCTTGCCTTGCCTCCCCCAGGTTACAGAGCGGGATGAACCTGCAGATCTGCTTTGTCAACGACAGCGGCAGCGACAAGGACAGCGATGCCGACGACAGCAAGACAGAGACCAGCCTGGACACGCCGCTGTCGCCCATGGTAGGTCTGGGGAGCCCGTCCTGGAGCGTCCCTGGGGGAGCTGAGAACGAGCTGATGCTGTTAAAACAGCAGCACCAAACGCCAGAGCAGCGTTCTCAGCCATCAGCAAAGCGTGAGGTGCTGAGGGGCAGATGAAGCACCCCTGGTTTGCACAGAGCTGCTGCGGAGCAGATGCTTTCACGTGAAGGTTCTTCCTTCCTGCCTTTCTTTTTGGCTCTGATAATCATCAGGGCAGTAATGGATAATGGATGGGAGGTGTTATCAGCTCCCAGCAGCTTTCCTCCCCTCTCTTTTCCTGAGCCAAGGTGACACTGCAGCCCCAGATGTTTTCCTCCAGCTTAACCCCAGTGTCCTTTCATCACCCGTTGATCTGGTGGCTTCTCTTCCCCGTTTAAAGTCGTGTTAATAGCCAAGGAGCCCTGTCTGGGAATCACTCTGATTTTTAGAGATAATCTGGTGGATTAAGATAAAAGAAAAAAAAAAATAAATCTGTGCTTTTCACAGTTCCTGTAGAAACGATGCCACTTTTAAGTGCTCAAAACAGGTTAAGAAGCCAAGAGCAGATGTCTTTGGGGTGACAGGGCTGTCACAGCTCCATGTGCTTCCCTAGAGCAAGCAGAGCTCGTCCTACTCCGACAGAGACACCACAGAGGAGGAGTCAGAGTCCCTGGACGACATGGACTTCCTCACCAGGCAAAAGAAGCTGCAAGCTGAAGCCAAGATGGCCTTGGCCATGGCAAAGCCCATGGCCAAAATGCAGGTGGAGGTGGAAAAGCAGAACAGGAAGAAATCACCCGTAGCGGATCTTGTGAGTGGGGGCTGTGGGGTGGGATGGGATGGGGTGGGATGGGATGGGATGGGATGGGATGGGATGGGATGGGATGGGATGGGATGGGATGGGATGGGAT